AGTCTCTATTCTCATCTCTTCCCTTAACGTCTTTCTTATCGCAATTCATTTCCAATCTCGTAGTGTGCCAATTTTCGGTCCTACAGCATCAACCATATATAACCGTGTGTCTGGTTTTGCGAGCGAGTGTTTTTCGTGTAATCATATATTTCCTATATATTATCAATATGAAATTTCATACGAATTACTTTTCAGCCAAGATCTCATAATTCTTTTTTAAAAAGAATCATATATATATTTACGACAAAAAAAAAAGAATCATATATATTTACAAATTTTGTTTTATATATATAGTTTCTTGGTACATAATTCCAGCCCAACCATTTAACTCAAAGTCCATACAATATTTCAAAATAGATCCCTTCAAGAAGAAATCATAACCAAAGAACGACTAATCATAAGAATTGAAGGAGAAGATCAAAGCGGATTAATATTAAATCAAACCGGTCAAGCTTGGAGTTACAAAAAGAAAGAAAMGAGACAAGAAATGACACATCTGAATACCTCGACGCTTAACTCTAAATCACTTTTGTTATATCTTTTTTAAAATCAATTCATGATGATATTTCCAGCACTTTGCTTCATTCCAGGCTAACGTCCATTACTCTAAATACCCTTTCTTATATTTAGTGTTTGGATATTTTTGTCTAGCAGTTAAATAGTACTTGTCATATAAAGATGAACCAAATTCCTAAACCATCTAAATCGTTATTGTTGAACATTATATACCATCACCAGAGCTATTTATTCTGAAAAAATTTGCACAACTAACTCTTGTCACCGTCGATTGTTGAGTCTCGAGAAAGTCCATTTGCAGGGCTCGAAACTGGATTTACTTTAATCAAGTCAACAGAGAAGCTAATTAAGCAGCTAATAAATTCATTAATTTAATATATCTTTTCTCTTGAATTTTGAGTGGTGTCATTACTGGTAGATTTTCTGTGATATAATTTGTTTCACTTTTGCCACTTCAGGTCAACTAAAGATAGTCAAAACAATTTAAACCACAATGATTATTAGTAACACTTTACAGTCCATAAATGATAGTATGATACTATTATATGAGTCAATAAAGCCAATGATTCAAATCCTAAAACTAATTAATTATAACTTATAAGTTTATAACTACTACTAGAATTGAGATTGAAACTGTATATTAATGTAAACGTTACGACTTGAAATCTATAATTACAAAAAAAAAATTAGATTCGTCACAAAATATATTCCTGCGCCGATCGCAATCTTGTCTTCCAACGGTAACTTTTCGGACATAAAAGTCAGACTTTTCATTATCCAATGATTAGATTACACGTGTCCCAATACATTAACCCAACGGTCGTCTTTCTTCTTCATGATATAAATTAAAGACCTAAAGAAACAGAGAAAAGCAACAAAGAAAAAAAAAAAAAGCTCAAAGAGGTAAACAAAAATGGTGAATCAAGTAAATCGTCTCCAG